TTTTACCTATTTGAATCAACTTTGACTCGGTTTAAATAAACAATAGCCATTTTATTTAAAAATGACCTTCCACCTTGTGGCTTGTCAAGCCACACGGTTCAGAAGATTTTTCAAGTTTTCATAATTGTCTGGAATATGCGTAAAGGGCATCTTCGAGTATCTAAGAGGGCATTCAACAGACCGAGGGAGAAACATTTAATGATATAACATGACCAGAGTATAAAAGAAAAGTCTTCTGAACATCTATCTAAAACTCTTTTTGAATCCTTGCAGGCACTATACAAATGTATGGAATTCTAAACTCTTGCTAATTGCTTCTGACAGCGAGTTATTTCTAAGTAATGGATCCAAGGTTTCGTTAAACCCAGAAATGTACAAGAATAAAACTATTATTGAAGTTTCTGAGCTTTTTCTACTCAATAGAACACAAAGGATATACTTCACGGTCTCCAAGAAATCAGTAACTTACGAAGAAAAGTGGCACTGGTATGACTCTAATTAGTAACAATTAGCACTTATTAATGATAATCTGATACCTTAGAAAAATAATCTGAAAGTCTTTTTTATGAAACTATAATCATAGATCCTTAGCCCTTACACTACGCAATAATGACGTTTCTACGATTATTTTTGATCGACCTGCAACCTTTGCAAAAAGTGGACATGTGTTGAAGACTTTATCTCGCGAACCGAGACGCACAGCACCACTAACAGTCAGTGCAGCATCGTACTGTAGTTTTACAATTGGTTTTAAATAAGCTAATATATTAGGCAAAGGGGTATTTGCAGTCTGAATCTCTTTCGTATATGCATAGATTACATCTGCATAACTCAGAGATGTCCATCGCGGTTAGTAATCAGTCGCTGCCGCACCGCTAAGGTTTCGAAAAAACTGATGCCGCGCCGCCTACCGCAACGCGGACGTTTCCAAAATTTGGCACCGCGCCGCTGCCGTGACGCGGATGTTCTTAAAAAATCGGTGCTGCGACGCGATCTGAAGTAACTTAGATGGCTGTTCTCCATTTGCATAACTAATATTTAAGATTAGAAAGATATAGAAATGATAAAAAATTGAGAGTACCTGGCATAATATATAGTCACTAAGAAGTGAATTTTTATATATATATGATATTTAGATCTAAAATATTTTGATCAATTAATCATATGTGAATATTCCAAGTCAATTCTTTATCTGTCGCTTGTGTAATAAGATCGACATTTTTGTCATAAAAAAAGTTGGTACAAAATGATTTAAGTTATATATAGAATGTATGTCTGTTGTTAGAATGCTATATAACGTCTAGAAAAGAAATATCAACAGCCACGAAAAAACTAGTTTATAAATAGTACTATAACTCCAGCTTTCATCATGATGCTAGAATTTGAATAGTTTTATTATAAATTTTATTAACAAAAATTAAATAAATCTTTTCAAAAATTCAACCGCTGCTGCGCCGCGCTGCATTTTTGAGCAGTTAGATAACTCTGAACCATTTTAAAAGTTTGGGATGCACACCTTTTTATTTTAGCTTGTATAATGCCAAACTTTGTCGAATGCCTTTGCACAATCAAGAAATACAGCTGTTATAAATTTATTAGAATCTAAATTTTCTTCTATTTCATGCACCAAATCGACCAACTGATTTGTCGTAGAATCGGCCTAAATAAAACCTGATTGTAAGGGTCTTAGCAGGTCATGTTTTTTCAGATGTCTGTATAGCTTATTATAAACCAATCTTTCGAGAAATTTAGACATAGACGGAAGAAGCGTAATAGATCTATAATTTGTCGGTAAAGTTGTATTTCGATCTTTAAATAGTGGATGTTTAACTCCAACTGTCCATTTTTCTGGAAAAACTCCTGATGAAAGAGAATGACTATAAAGGTGTTTTAAGTCTTCAACAATAACTGGCCCGGCTCTTTTAAAATTTTTGAACTTATGCCTTGGATGGTGGCTTTACTAACACCAATCGCTTTTAAGCATTTTTCAACTTCATTAGTGGTAACCGTGAAAAGGTCAAATGTTGGAGTTGAGAGATTGAGCTGAGGGTTGGACTTCCGTTCTTTCTAAGATGTAGGAAAACACTGTCAGCGTAGATCTTTGAGGTAAACACAAAACTTCTCACGTACCGCGACATCAATTAAGCGCGATTGTATTTGATGTTGTGTTAACAGTTTTCTGTTATTTAGTGGAATCTGTCAACTTAAATTATTGTTTATATGGTAGTGAATAGGAATCGACTTGTTATAATTTGCAGTTGACAATGGACATCCATCGTTATAAAAATCTGCTCCTGATCCCCACCATTGAGAAATCGAAATATCGTGGTATTCTAAAGCAAAAAATATGGTAAATAAGCTAATTTTAACCCCAATATCCATTCCAATTGAAAACAGAAGTACATAGCGATCCCACCACCACTTTTTAATTAAAGTATGAAATATGAATCCAATGATTAACCACGATTGCATTTGTTCAAATCTGCCCCCGCATATCAGAACAAACATAAGTGGAATATGGACATACTATTCCATAGCCATTTGGTTTTGGGATACTTTATCTTTAGAATCCAAAATAGAATTGGAGTAAAAAAGTTACTAATATCAACCAAAGCATCTTTGAATATATAGAATATAAACCAAAAAGCTTCGCTGGCTTTTTAAATAAAATAAGTTCAGGAAAGTGGCATGAGTTATGTGACAAAAGTTGGAAAACATGGAAACTTAAAATGCTGCATTATGGTTCTCTTGACTCTATAATTAATTATTCCAGAGCTTATAGGCCAACTATGATAAGAAAGCGTCTAAGAAATGTCTTGTAATAGTGATATGAGCAACGATTTCCATATTCTCAGAGCTTAGTTTACACGGTCTTAGCTAAGCGGTAGGATCAAATTCAAAATAGTACCCATACAGTTGAATTTTTATTAGTCACGTAATGAACTGTTTAAAAGCACTACCAACATTATACAAAAGTACGTTTGGCTACTATCATTTTTATTAATCTATCAATATTTTTACTCATTCTTTTTTTGCAAAAGAACATGACAGAACGAGTGAACTCGCTATCCTAAGAGCAGGATTAATTTCGTTTTAGAAGTTATGCATCTGTTTAAAAGTTTCCTATGTCATAGTAAGGCTAGGTTAACGGATAGCGTTGCTCCCAAGTTAAAATTCATCTGTTCGAACGTCGTCGTTTAACTTAAAAAATGCTGTATAAATACCTACTTAAGATAGCAAAGTTCAGTGGTCCATACCAAATATGAGCACACGACCATTTATTATCCAAACAAATTTGATGAGAGGAATTCAGCAAAGAATATGTTACTGAAAATCGAATAATTGATGATATGATTGTGATCAAAAATTGTGTGATGAACGTGGTTCGTGATGATATTTTCATGAAGTGTCCCAGTTTAAAAGTTAACAATAATCTCACAGCTTGATCTTTAGTGACATAGCCAAACTCGGTCATAGCTAGATTACTTATAGGATGATGGTGCTGCAGAATGATGGCGCCCAACATAGTGACTACCACATAGATTTGAATGGTAACAGTAGTTCTAGATAGTAGAATTCCCACTGGTAAAGCTGTCAGAAACGAAAAGGAAATAGCGAGAAACAAATAATACCAAGCCATAAAGTGACCAACATGGCAAACAATAGCACTAACAACGAATGCACAAAGAGACTGCCTATCTAGGATGTCACGATTTATCGTTTATCTGGTTTCTCTAAACGTGTTAACTGGCTTTTCCTCTTATCCATGTTTTGGATGACTGTTCAAAAAGTTTTTTTCGCTGATACTGAATTTATTTCATCATACTTTACCAAGCTGCTTATAAACTTGCTTTACTAAGTCGCCTTCCTGTTTCTTCTTTTACTATCCAGTATTATCTAACTTTCTTGCTTCGTTAAGACTGGACGACCTATATGAACATCCTCAAACGAACACTACTATATACCACTATAAACAAGACGAGTGCATCTTGTCACTCTTGAAAATGAACTTTGCAAAGCCACATTTTCGCGAGTCGTGTAGTCTTTCTTCATCTCTGAAATCCTGAGATACATGCAGTGGGACTATCGGCCAGTTTTAAGACCTGTGAAAAATTTTTGAAGTACCTCATCTGACGCAGTTTTCGACATTGAACACGAATATGATGCCAGATGTGACGTTTGAAGGAAGGCAAACATGTAGCAATAATTAAGTAGAAAAACTCCAAAAGTTGTATCTAAAATGTTTTTCAAAAATCTTGCCGCTTTCAAATAGTAAGTGCTCGAATATCAAACATGTTAAGATCATTTGTAGCCCTTGCTTTACTCTATCAGACTCTATAATTGAATTTTTGTTCCCATCTGTTTTCTAAATTAACTACCCGAGATGATTTTTAAAGTGATCGAAAATCGCACTGGTGTCTTTTTACCATCACGACTGATGAAAAAGACTGTATGATAGATTGATTAAATAGTTTTATAGAGAGAATTTTGCTCCATTTTTCGAGATATTACCTTGTCCTATTCGGCCGGTAGTTGTGGAGAAACTGTAAACGAACTACGGTGATACCGAGTAAAACTCCCTTTTCCAGCACTGAGTCAGATCTGATCGATATCAACCTCATTACTTCTGAAAACAAAAAGATGGATATATGAAACTTTGGAGTTGGAGGTTTCCAGCCATAAGCATCCGCTCATAACATATGAAACAATTCACGATGTTTTCTACAAAAGTCAAAATTTAATGCCAATCGATAAACCGTTAAAATGATTATGAATCGTACTGATGATGTCCAAGAAGGTGCTGCGTTCGAACTCTAATTTTGCGGCATAAATCAGCTAATAACTCTGAATTTTAATGCCTTCATACCCGCATTAAACAATAATTATTCAATAGAATACAAAGCTAGTCACTTATCGATGAAAGCGGTAAAACTGTTTGCTAGTTCCGTCGTCCTGAGAAGTTCAAAAATAAAGTTTTCAAACCATTCAAGATCGGTCTGCTACATTCTGACTGTCTCATCATCTATAATTCCGAAAACGGATTCCATTGGATCTTTGTAATTGACAAAGCCGCAAGATGGTTGCGAGATACCATAGCCTAGAACTCTCAATTCCGCTGGGGTTAGCTGAATTTCTTTGCAGCGTTCAGGTGGCACCATCAGATACTCATTTTCTGCTTGTCGGTAAAATCCTTTAGCCATGAATACTCCCGCCGTTTCGCGCCGTTCGTCTTGAGTAATGTTTCCTCCTCCGGCATGATAGACATTGCCCAGGAAGATGGTCGCATCGCCCGGTTCTAGTTCGGCCGGCACGGCTTCCTCTACCAACGGCACGCGATCTTCGTCTTCCCACAAGTGTGAACCCGGAATAACGATGGTTGCTCCATTGTTCTTGTGCGTCCGAGTCAGGGCGGTCACACAGCCGATCATCATCGGACGATCGCACGCACGTGTATGATAGTCGGTGTCGTCGCGGTGAAGTGCTTGCTGCCTGCCACCAGGGTTTACGCGAAAGCCGACAGTCGACGAAATAATTGGCTTTGAAACGGCGGTGTGCTTTTCCGAGCCACGATAGAAGGTGTAAATCGATGTAAGCATTCGATTGGCCACAGTCAAATACAATGGATGCATGGCCAAGTCGACACAAGCACGCGAAATGGAAAAGAGCCCTGTGGCTCGTTGGGTTGTCGAAGGGAAAAAGCCCGATTGGTCGACGACATCCGAGTCGAAATGAGGTACAAGATCTTGTTTAACCTGTTCAATGTGATCTCTAGAAAACATACCGGTAACGATGACAACGCCGTCGCGCTCAAGATGTTCTACAATTTCATTTTCGGCAGTTGCATTCATTGCCGGTATCCGTGCGATGCTCGCTCTTGTGGCTGGCAACATCTGAAAGGCAAACAAAGGTTTTTATGCTACCAAACCTGCTTCTACTCTGCTTTTTTTGATAAAGTTCAAAAAAACAAAAGAATAGGTTCTATTTTCTCCGATATGACCAAGCGATAACATTCTATGGTCACATATTATCTTGTGTAACAAGAGAAGAGTGAAAATAGAAACGTTTATAAGTCCTGTGTTTCACCTTGTGGACTTTTTCGTCCTCCTTTATCTTGAGCGAAACAATAGAATATGCGTATCTATCAAAAACATCTGTTGACAAAAGAGACGCGCTTCTTTCTTTCGACAACACAATGGGCCACTTGTCTCTTTGCCACTTATTGTTTTCATTCACCTCTTTGTCCTTAAAATGCTTTTTTTAAACAGAGTGGTGAAAAAAGTTAGAAAGTCAAGTCATAAACGTGACTCTGACTTGATTCCTTTCCTATTTAGATGAATCTGAGATTTCGAGTTACATTTCCCACTTCTCAATCAGCTTGACTGATTTTTCTCATGCAAGAAATTTGATGAAAACACAAGTTAAAGTAATTAGATTTGGGATCCACCATTTTCGCTTGTTATCGCCACAGTCACTTGTCTTGTAAAATGAATTGCACTTGGCTATAGACTAATTTCTATTAGAACAAAAGAACCAATGAAAAATCCCTTTTTCAGTTTTTTCCCTAATACCTTTTTCTCCAGTTGTGCAGAAGCTTTTCTGGAAAGGAACAGTCATGTTCGTGGTTTTGTGCAGCGGTTAAAAATTATTGATTTAAGAGAGCAAGAAAATCAAAAAATTGAGAGGCTCTCTATTATCGCAAGTCCACAAAGTTCTACATGGTGATTAGTTGAAGGCAGATGAGCATATCTGGTCCTGGAAGCTTTTACATAGAAAATACCTCATTTCTTCTGCAAGCTATCCATTTCTTTGATTGCACTGAAATGCACAGGACCAGAGAAGCACTGAAATTTTTCTTCCGGCAACTAAGACAATGATTTCACCATGTTTTACCTAGGTTCGTCTTCAGGAACGTGATGCAATCAAGATAGATCATTTATCTCAAGTTCACTTAGACACTGAACTCAAAATGAGTGCACAGCAATATTATTTCAGAAACTTTATACACGCTCTATCAGTTGTTGTGTCTTTTAACATACTAGGACGGGTTCTCTTTCTTAGAAATTATACGAAAAAAAGCGCAGTTTTTCACAAATTTGAGCAAATAGAGCCCTAATTAAAACTTTCCCTCCAATTGTAAGAGAAATGGACTCCAGCGCGAAATTGGCTCCAGATTGCTCTAATTAGTTGTTCATTTTCCCGCTTAGCTGTTTTACTACAAGAAACAGATTTTTTGAAATCTATGTTATCTGGTCGATAAAACTTTGTACCTCAACCTCGTATTTCAACCTTATTCCCACTCCTACTGCCGAGTACTCATGAGTTAAACGTTTCACCTTTTTTCATCATGTTTCTGTAGAAAAAACCGAATAAATCATCGCCCTAGTGGAACTTCTTCTACCCGAGACCTTGGCCGTGATCTTGGGTTAAGGAGTGTCACAAGACCTTGGATAAAACATGAAGAAGTCAGGGTCCTAGATACTTGAATCTTTCACTCAAGATCCTGAAACATCTTGGCTTACTCCACTCAAGATCTTGGGAACAGAAATTTTAAGGTCTTGAGTGAATATCCACTCAAGATGTTGCAAGAGTCTGAATGAAAAAGTTTCTTTATGTTTGGTTTTTATTTATGACAGTGATAACCATCGGATATACGACCATATAGAATCGTAGATTCTTCCTTATATCCATTATCGCTATTGTGTACACCGTTTTAAACTTTTTTTCTCCTCTAACAATGTTTTTCCTTATCAAAATTAAGACTATGCTCAAAATTAATTAAGCATTCTGGACTACGCTCCGCACTAATTCAGAGCCTTCTAGGTCTCTGTATTTGCCTTACGAATATGCTCAAATATACGTCGTTCATATGAGCATGTTTCTTCAGCATAGATACGTGCCCATATAGCGCGACGCAGTTTTGTATGCTGATCCCGAATATACACTCTGTTCGGCGATTTGATGAAGGGTCGAAAAACCCTGAAAATACCGTTTGGGGCTCTCGCGAAAATGCCTATAACTCCTGAACAAAACACCCTAGCGGGCTCGGCCTTACTCAGATCGAAAGAGAACACTTTTCTCTATTGAGCGGTCATGTCAAAATCCTAAATCCAATGGTAAATGTCTTCGGAATATTGCCTTTAAAATGTTCATCAAGAATTCTCCTGATTGGTCAACTTTGACCAATCAGATTTGGCATTTCCATATAAAAAATATGACTTTCTTTCGAATGCTGAAAACCGCAAGTCTCCAGCTGTTTCGTTCTGGAGTTATTCAACTTACAACCGAGTGCACTGTGTATTGAAATGGATAGTAATTCTCTTTTGAAACAGGTACTAGTTATTCCTTCTTTATATTATTTTGTTAAAATTTTTCTCTAGTCCTTTAATCGAAAAAAGTACAGTGCGTATTTTAGTGTATTATCTTTTCTTTCCTACTAGAAGATATAACAGCATAGATATAAATAAAATCAATGACTAACACAAAATGTTAATTGTTTTGGATGTTTATTTGTATAATTTGTACATCCACCACCATTGAGAACGGGCACAGTTGTGAATGGTCCTCGTTTATTACATTGATGTAATTTAGCAATTCCAAAATTTAAATATTTCTCAGATGTTACGACGCAACAATTATCCGAAATCGCTGTTCTATAATTTAAACCAATAAATAAATCAGCTATACGAGATAAAACTGTTTCTGATCCAAGGCTATAACCATACGCACATTGTCCTCCTATACCGTCCAGATAATAACAATGATTTTGGTATAAAACTTCATTTGATGGACATTGATGTATTATTCCAGTTGTTACTGATGTTGAGGTTGCAGTAGTAGTTAAATCGCTACAGGAAAATAAAAAATGTGTTTACAGTTTGTCTGTTCATGAAAAGAATCCATTCGGTCGTTTTGAATAAGTCAACAACGAAATAAGACAAAGAGTCGTGCCGCTTATTTCAGCATTTTATAGTCAAAGACTGAAACTATCCCTCGTTGAAAAAGATTTTGAGTAGCACATGGTGTGGGCAATGGTTGCTTCAATTAAATTTTTCAAACCAATGACCCTGGAAAAAGATTTGATCGGCATGGCCTTCACATGTATGTATATCGATGAGGTAGTTAAAAACATTTTGATATCAACGCACGTGCGTGCAATATGTCTACAACAAGCAGGCATCGATGCACACTAATGCAGCTGATCACATGCACTGGCACCGATACCTCAGCACTGATGTGCACCTATACAATTTTGGTCAGTGATTGGTCAGTCATCTGTTTGTTTCATAATCGGTTAAATTATACACGATACATGATATTCTTTACCCATTGGAACTTTTGGAAATTAATGCAGACTAATTTAAAAGTCTCATATTAAATTAGTTCGTATTCATTTTTTTCTGATTAAAAATCAATTTGAATTGATTTAACTTGAAAAATTAACGCAAATCACTTCAATTTTAACCAGTTCGAATTAGTTTATCAAGTTAAATCAATCCAAATTGATTTTGAATCAGAAAAAAATTAATACGCACTAATTTAATATGAGGTATTTTTAAATTAATTCAGATTAATTTCCAAAAGTTCCAATGGGTACGCCTTTCGCAGTGTTTCCCTTCAAATTTTCCTTAAGTGTCGAGACAGTACAGCAGGATTTGAAACGGATGTCTGTCGTAGTCATGCCGTATGAATGCGGTACCACTTTTGAAAATCAGAAAATGGCACTGATTCTGTTCGAGTAGGTATTGATGTGCACCGCCGATGCCAAAAGCTTTTCTTCAAACGCGGTATCAAATCTTTTTTCGTAGGAACGCTTATTAGAATTGGCAGACCGTATCTGCATAGATCGGAACAAGGTTTGTTCTTTTTGTTTCATTCCGAATTCAATTCTCTTTCGTTATAAAACTTGTCCACAATACCCTTGCGACATTCGGCATCAAAACAATTCATAAGTGTTACAACACTTACAGACATAAATCATCGATAACAAAAACTTCCCCATTTCGGCTATCATTAGTTGTTGCAAAAAATGTAATTGTATCAATATCAATCCAGTTTAATTCAATTAGAGTTGAATAATTTTTTTCTATTTTAAATGAAGCTTCTCTATAATATGTGGATGCACGTTGCGAAACCAGTGATAGCATTACATTATCATTCCATGCTGATGAGACAACAAATGACTTTATACTAAATTTATACGGTGCATCTATGCTAATTGTCATTCGTTCACCATTCAAGTTAAATGCTACCCATGTGCCTGATTCTAAAGCCGAATAAAAGCCACTTTCGGACCATTGTGGATATATTTGTGTATCAAGTACATAAACATTCGTCCATTTTAAACCATGATAACCGTTCGGGATCTTAGCATACGTCGATGCATTTTCAAATTTAATTAAATTTGAATCCAAACAATCTAAAATTTTATTATTATTTATTTAGAATTTTTACTTTCGAAATATCTATGAAAACCGGTGTTCTAAAGGGTCACTGTAAAACCAGGTGTGTGTGTATAAGTCTTTTTTCCAAAGAAAAACTTGTACACTTAAAGGAATTTAATCACACCAGCAGCTAATGTTTTTAGGGGTGCCAGAACAGCGAAGTCCGATCTTATCTAGTACTATCGAGCGTTCTAATACTGCTAGCTGGAAAGAGCATACAAACTTGCATAGTTCTATCCGCAAATGAGGAAACAACGATTTCGTGCTTTGATCAATCGAAAAAATGGCAAAGAAAGTTTTGTGGTCGGTGCTGAAGTAGGAACTGCTGAACTGGACATAGTTGATAACTGTCCGGCACTAGATAAACGGGCGACACTCATATGAGTAGAATCAAAACGACGTAAGGACGTATTATTGAAATTTTCAGTTTGTGTTTCCTGAGAAACTAAGTTGCTTGACACTGTCGGCTGTGTCGTTAAAACATTAGCAATGCTCGACTTTGCTTTCATCTGATTGTAAAACGTGTAATGACAGGTGCTACACCAAGGAATGTCTATCTGTGTAAAGCCAATTAGTTTGTAATATCAATAGAACAAGAGGAAAGAATAAATTTCATCAATTCTCGAGTTTCGAAGTCATCTTACTCGTTCGTCGTATCGAAAAGTGTGAAAACAGTTTTTACACTTGTTAGCCGACATGTTAAACAGTATTTTTAGAATAAAGAAAAAGCACTAAGTTAAGCGAAAGTGTTTTGAATTTCTTTATCGTTCTTCTAACATCAACGTGTTCTGGATCCTTCTGAGAAAATGAATAATCTATATCACATGCGTTGACGAAACATATATTTCGTTCTTCGTTTAACTAATCATCGACACATAACCGAAGTGTCAAAAAAATGAGAAAAGAGAGAAAACGTGCGTTTTCTGCTAGATATATTGCTGTGAGAAGTGAATTCAGTGATATATTTGCTAAAAGGAAGGCTTTTAATCCAAAAAGTGGCTAGAAAGTGAGATTTTTCCGAAAAATCTCAAAACCCCCATACGATGGGTTTCAAGACTCGAAACCCCACTTTCTACATCAACTTTTGCCTTGAATGGCACGTCGTTGGAAAAACCCGGATTTTGAGTCAAATTTTATTTCTATTGCCATTTGGACAGGCCGCATTTTTTCGAGCTGCAGTTGCGATATTCGTAATCAGCATCAGATTCTGAGTCAGACAGCGTATTTTTCAAAATTTTTAGACAAAAAACATTTTCGCTTATCCCTGAGGGGTCCCTTGCCGTGATTTTTTGGGCAAAAAATATTTTTTCAAAAATTTGAAAGTTCTGAAAGGGCTATCTTGTTCAGAATTTGGTGCTGATTCCAAATATGTATGATTTATACCGAAATGTTTTAGGTCAAAAATGCTACTTAATGGTACTCCTCCTTTCTGATTATTTTTAACAAAATTCAGTTTTCAGTTTCATTCCAAAAGAAGTTGTTTGCTACATTTAGCCAAGATCACGTTCGAACCAAATAACGAACAATTCATTATTGGATGATAAAATCCGAGTTTTTCTTTACGAGCTTTTCGTACATCAAGCTTTTGCATAGCTGAAACCGATCGTCTTTTTTTTCATAGGTCCGACCAGCGTTTCGCCTGTTGGAAAGTTCAAATAAACCAATAAATGACCCACTTCAGTGAGCCAGTTTCTCAAAAAATTTGAATTTTTTAGTTTTTTCATTCGGAAATATTTAATAAGGCGCATTAATCTGCTGAAAAAAAGACGCTTTAAGCAGTCAATTCCTTTTTTGCTGGCGAACAGTTTCTGATCAAGGGTATCACCCTCTGTTTTCACCTTGTTGCCAGATGCGGAGCACAAGTCCAATTGAACTCAAATTTATAGCATCAAAAAAGAAAATCGATGTATTATTGCCCAGACTTTTCTGCGATGTTCTTCTATGGATTTTCTTGGAAACTCCAGTTTTCATCCAGTCACCTTATGACCCCTCGAAAAAGTGGTCCGATCGAACTCAAATTTTACCGTAAATACTTTAGACCTTATCTCAGGTTGTAAATTTTTCTTTTCGAAAAATATGCTTTCGCTCTTGAGATATTCGAAAAATACTAAAACTCTTGTATATCAAAGTATTTTTTTATTTTAAAAACTTTCTCATGCCGAAAGTTACAACTAGCACAGATGCTTTTTTCAATAAAAGCTGAATGAAAAGAGCTAGGGACCTGGGTACTTCGGCACAGCTCTTATAGAAATCCCGTCAAAATCCTCGGCTGCTCACAAATATTGAATCCAAACTAACCTGAAATTCGCCTGTCATCTTATGGCTGTTCTGAAAGCGCTATCTTGTTCAGAATTTGATGCTGATTCCAAATATGTATGACTTATAGCGAAATGTTTTAGGACGAAAAATGGCATTTAATGGTCCTCCTCCTTTTGACGCTTTCAAACTTTTGAATCGTTACACTGAAGTATCTCAACGACGTTGCGTTTTACAGACGGTTCAGTGACGTTTAGTTTGAACGAAATTTGTATGATCCCTTCTGTCAAGTTGATCAAAAACTTTCCGAGTACACCTCCCTCGCGGGTTTGAAAAAGCATTGGGGAATTACCGGCAACTTTTTGACTTCTGTTTAGGGATGAAAATTTCAAGCCCCTAATTCATCTGAGTTTCAGGAAAATTAATCTCAACTTTGGATGATAAAATTTTCTTTTAAAATTCTATGACAAAAAAACTTCAGTTTTGCTCATATCATGTTAAAATACCACAGTGTGACTTTTGTTAAAAAAGTTACCATGCCTGAGATAAGGTTCATTAATCACTGATTTCAACCGCTAAGACGTAAGAAACTCCTGGCAATGTTTTACCAAAACAATGGCTTTTCGAACGACAACAGTTGTCCAGACAGTTTGGCTGTTAAATCAACAGTATTTGTCTTACTCATCCAACCTCAGATTATGCATACATACATCGGTATTTACAGGATGCAATTCCACACTTTTTTCTCAAAAAACTATTTCAACATTTTTCGAAATGATCTAGAGGTTTTTTAATAACCGACCATTGCAGAGCAAACATTTTCTACAAAATGAGATATGGCAGCACTTTCTTGATTCAGTGTTCACATAAAAAATGTAGTAAACGTCCGACGAATAATACTGATATCGGTTAAGGCCGATTTATGGCTCTTTCTTGCGAACCCAGGTCGAATTCATAAGATCGCAAATGATGGTTTACGAGCAAATCCGATCGTATTTCATGGGGGCGTAATACGGTATCGTATACGGCATTTTGACTCGTGAAAGTCAGTACACTCTAAAAAAAAATGCGGCTTCTAGGAACACACAGAAGTCAGTTTCCATTTAGTCGTATAGTTGCGTCTATTTTGAAGACATCATGCGCCTACATCTAGTAGTCACATTCATCCGTCTGTTTCTAAGTCGCATGAAAGACACTGAAGTTGGTTACCATTCAGTCGTATTTTAGCGACTCTTTTGAAGTCGCTTTGATGTGTCTTCTGGGAAAGACACATTAAAAAACTTTTTCGTTCCTTTCAAGAATTGAACTCGGTCTATTCGCTTACCAGACGAATGTATTCATCGCTGAACCATACAGGCACATTAATTGTTAGTCGTATTAGCCTCTTACGTTGACATTTCATGTGAGACAAAAAACTTAGTAGAGTCACATAGGAGGCGGAAACATGTGACTACTAAGCATCTTTCTCGTTCACATATCTTCCATGCGACTTCTATATGTCCACCAGTAGACACATTGTAGACATCTATTATTTTGAAGACGCAATCTAGTCATACAAAAGACATTTTTTCCCGGTAGACACATCGCTGAAGTCGCATTTTTTTTAGAGTGTACGGAGAAAAATAGGAGTTTTTGCGCAATCTGTAGTTTGTGCAGGTTGTATTTGGAGCCAGTTTGAAATCGTGATAGTTGCAGAGCATTTAATTCTCTACAAAATGAGGTATTACGGTGGCTTACGACTTAGGAGAATCAAACGTGAACGAAGTTTTTCTGAGAGCTACTTTCTACGTAAAATGGCATTCTGTGGAAAAATCGATGTTTCAAAACGTGGCTTTTAGAATCGATAAATTTGAAACATTCTTGCCGAGGGCTGCGCGATTATAATTACAAAATGTAAAGTTCAAGCAGTGTTATCATTCCTAGAATTCTGAACTTTAAATGTTCAGAATTCTTATATACATGTAAAGTTCCACACTCACCTTAACCCGTAGAATTCAGAATTCTAAAATTCTGAATTTTCGAAATAATACCTGTGTTTCAACTTTATATTTTGTAATTGTAATTGCGCATCTCTGTTTTTTCCAGAGATAGGCATGCACCAGTTCCGATCTTAGGCTTGGAGGATTGGTACCAGCTAGACTTGGTACCAGTCGGACTGGTCAACCAGTTAGGCTTGGTCGAATGTAGTAGGCAAAAGCTTCACCGTACAACCTAAGATGTAACCGTCATTGCACCTTAGAGTAATTTTTTTTCGTGCTTCTGTTTTACTTCAAAGGAGATCATTTCCTCAAAAGTTTGTTCTTATTTTTCTGTTGATGAGATTTATTTTAGTCCACTAGCCGTAGTTTCGAAATTATTTAATTAATAGACAGTTTCACTTCCACCGTCGCCTATGAAAAATTTGTAAAATCAAAATGGAAATCATAACTTTAATGAAAAGTGAAGAAAAAACCAAACGAATTTTGCTGACTGCTATATCTGCACTCAAAGCTTTTATATGTGCCGTAGCTATATAAAACTACTTGTCGCATTTTGTGTATTTTTTGAAACCCAAGCCTAACTGGTACCAGTCTTGACTGGCGACTGGGCGAATTGGTCCAATCCCCAATCGGATTGGACTGTTGCATGCCTAGCCAGAGAGAAAAAGAAAAGTAGATGAAGCAATATTGTAGAGCAAGCTTTGCTCTACAAGCTGCAAACTGAACAAACTGCAGTATTAAAGGATGTTCCATATTTCGAATTAAGTCTATTTTAATTAAAATACAAAAATATTCTGAACAAACTTCGTTTTTGGCTCTTTCAAACATTTCCTCACAGTTAATCAACGTTGAGCTGGAAAACACATCTGAACACATATTCGGAAAGAGCACAAAATTCTGAGTCTAACTGACTGCTTTTGGCTCTCAAACATTTTGTACGGATACTTTCGCGCCATGGGTTGCGATTGTATGCGCTCGTAAACGTTTTCTTTATGATTATCGTATACGATAACATATTATTTGCATGTATACAACAGTCGTTTTCATTGTCCTGAGAGATACTTGCGGCAAAAAGAGAAAAGGTGAAGCGTTCCGTCATACTTCATTTTGTAGAACAATGTTTGTTCTATAAAACTGAGCCATCAAAGCAGTTGATATTTTGTACTTTTCATTTAGTGTAGTTGGGAAAACCATAGAATATAGTGGTAAATACCAGTGCACGCTCCTCAAACCAATATCAAAATTTCACTGATGAGTTATAGCTAATGGTAAAAATACTCAAACGTTTCTTATCACTAGACTTCCTTAACTACTAAGTTAATCACTCAAGAAGTGTGGCGGTGGCAGACTGAGGGAATTTTTCTATTCTTATACACATATTTTTTCTATTAAAAGTCATACATGATGTTGAGACTGTTGTTGTTGTTGATAATAAAGTTGTAATCGTTGACGATGTATCTAGAACATGCAGTAAAGTAAAATCCAATTAAGTTTGTCAACCTAATCGGGTCAGAATTAGTCACTAAATCAAGTAACTCGGTCTAAACCTTGCCGAACGACAGGATTTCTGGTAACTGAAATTTTGTAGAGGAGGAAGAATGGAAAGGAAAAATAACAGTTTTCTTACACTCATTACTTTACGTTCTGAAGACAAACGCCTTAACCATCATAATAGAAATTGTGGTTCATATTTACTTTTTTAACGTATTTTAGGTATGATTAGAAGATAAAATCTTATTAAAACAAACTGGTAAGTGAGATAAGTTATTTGATCAACTTTTTAAGCCTAACGAATATTTCAGTCGCATTGGAGTGGTAGAATAACCGTGTATAGAAGTAGTAATTGACTAAGGATTTTATATTTTTTCCAAAACCTGGTATTTCGTAAGTGGGTTCGTTAAATATTTTCTGACTCGGTAAGAATGTAGAGCAAACATTTCTCTAAACAATGAGAGGTCGGACAGCTCTGTATGTTTTGTTTTGAGATTTCGGCAGCAATACCTCAAGAGCACATAATCGAGTAGTAAACGAGTATCGAGTACTCGATTAGTCCCTTATGGAGGCATCGCTGCCAAAATCTCAAAATGAATCGTGAGAGCTGTCCAATCTCTCAATTTTTAGGGAAATGTTTACTCTACATTCTTACCGAGTCAGAAAATATTCAACGAACCAACCTATGAACAATTATATAGAATCAAGTGAAACTCGGAAGGAAGATGCGTACGGTGAACTTACGTTTGTCATTATCACCACCATTGTCCCAGTCACACGCAAGAATATTTTGATTAAATATCAAATTTGATTGACATTGAATCAAATATGCAATACCGTTTGAACATGAATAAAACGAATGTTTATCTTGATCATTTGAATAGAGACCGTCCATACCCTGAGGACAAATAAATGTTGATGAAATATCGCTCAACAATAACAAAGCGAAAAATAACCGTAGACCGAATGTTTTCATTTTTTATTGTCCCTTAGCGTTTCTCTCTTCTCTTCTGTGTATCTGTTATTAAAAGTGAGAAATGAAAGTAGTATTAGTGACATGTGTGAAAATTTCTCAACAATGCAATGATGATGATGATTTTTCCTTCGAAGGTCAAAACAAATTTATGACGACACTGTGACATAGAATAGAAAGATAAGTTCCGAGAAAGAGTTTCTTGATTTTATTTTACAGATTTTAAGACTAAAATCAGGAACAACAACGAATCTAGATAATTTCAAGTTAGAATGACTCCATTAAGCCTAATGATAAATCGTTTTTGCTGTCAATGTTGTGGAGACATGTGGCATCGATAAAACTGTTTCTAAAACAGGATAGTCGGAACGTATCAAACTTAACTTTTCGATATTTGTTTCGAAATCAGTTCTTGTGATCTTGATCTGTTCATGAAGTCACATGTATCTTTAAACTTCGTTGATTAGCAAAAACACAGTTAGAGAGAGAAGTTAATTTTATGTGAAACATTTGACCAAATACAAAAATGCACTTCAACCGTTGAGACTAATTGAATTTTGTAAACCTATGAGAAGAATGACGCTTCGCAAAAATTTTTAGTAGCTTTTGCACAAAAACGTTACCACTTGAATATGTTGATCTTACTAATAACGCTTGTTTTTCACTAATGTTACGATTACTTTATCCAAAATTTTAACGTAACGTGAGATGAAGTGTTGCATTGTACATTCAGTTACTTTCTTGTCTAAGCATCGAATATCGCAAAAACTAGTGAGAAATATTGAAATAGTAGTTGAAGTTTCATAAATTCGTCCACAAAGAAGTGTCTAGCAGAAAGCGTTCAGTAAAAAAGCATGTTGGTCAGTGGACTGACGGCATGCACTGTGTCAAAAAGTGATTTTGGGCCAGTGAAATTGATTAGGTAAAAAATTCCCAGAAATTCACTTTCGGGCATTTTGGGATAAAAATTCAAAAGGTCGGCTGGATTTAGAGCCCTGCGGGATTGAGTTTTTTCTTCTCGATCCCCTCCCGTAGGATTGAAACCCGGTCCCGATCTCGAAAAATTCTTTTCGCCAATCCCTATCCCGATCCCGTCCCGTAGGCATAATTACAATCCCGTTAAATCCCGAAATTTTTTTCGCTCGAATACATGAATATCGAGGTCGAAAGTGAATTTCTGTGAACTTTTTACCTAATGGATTTCACTGGCCTAAAATCACTTTTTGACGCAGTGTATACCGTCAGTCCACTGACCATATGCTGAAAAACCGTCCACTAAAAAGCGTCAGCTTTTATGAGCGTACTCTTTTTTCGCATCAGACTTTTTGTAGAAAACATCTAAATGTGTATACCCAGGACGATTATTACGAGTAATACGTCGTAATACGTCAAGTTACGACGTCGTATTTTGATGTTAACGATAGTATTTCGTCGTAATGTAGCGTTTTTCGTGGAGAAGTATTACGATGATCGCAACACTGTCATCGTATTTCATCATAAACCACAGTTTACGACAGTCGTAATCCTTCTCCACAGTACCTTTCGTCATATTTTGACGTAAACTGTAGTTTACCGCCGTGTAGCTTCGACCTGGGTGTATAATTTATATTTAGCCTTTTCTAAACCTAGGAATGAAAGGTTATTTAGTTTACTCTACAGGGGGTTAAAAAATTATTCGCCCACTTATATAGTATCACTTGATTTATATACCTCTGCTGTGCCCTAACCAAATGAGCTAGAGAGCCCCAACAGACACCATAATATAGCCCGTTGTTTGTAGTACATAAACTATTAGGGAAGGGGAGAGGAACTTTTGGTCCCACTGCAAATTCTTTTTCAAAAGAAATGAGTAAAAGAGCTCAAAGAGGATTGAAAATTCTGTACAGTGGCTAAATTACCGCAAGGTAACCGTTATCACATATGAGAATAACAACATACTTGGAGTTGTGGCTGTTACTTATCTCCATTCTCTAACAAAATGTATATACTGTGGCATTCTGTTGAGACTGCACGATGATCCGTAGTGGATAAAACATCGAATGTTCTGCGGTACTCTGTTGCCACCTACCTACTCATTTCTGCGCTATTGTCGATTATGCTAATAGCTAAACAAATCAAATAGCTCCTTTCTCACTCAATTTTCAATAATCGTTTGGAAACAAGAAAATGCACAAATACACTTTTTTCTGAAAACCAGCATTGCCACGGGATTCAGAATGATCGATAATCTTCTGTCTGCGTCATTTTATAAACTCATCTTTTTACGTTGAAAAATAAAGTCAAGTTTCTTACATAATTCGATCCGTTATGATTCTTAGAAGAAAAGTTTGACTCGCTTTTGTCAAAGTTCGGTTTTGGAATAATCGACTTTTGCTAAATTTTAGGCAGTTTTAATTTCTGAAGACCCTAAAGAAGGTTTTTCTACAAGACTGCGTTTCGAGAAAATCCTTTGTTGATCGAGTGTTTCAAAACTAACTGTGACTGATAGAAAACTGAATTTTCTACAAAATGACACCTTTCCGATATTTCTTAGGCTTTAAGAACCCACCTCCCAGAATGAAATATTTTAGTATCAAAAAATCAAATCGGAGACAAGCACATGGAAAGATAGTCCGGAGTGTCCGCTTTCACAACCTGTATCGCTTTCGGGCCTAGAACTGAGTTTTTCGAGCAAGTTTTCTAGAAGCCGTGAAAACCAGGATCTTCAAATAATAATTTTTCTGGATACCTAAGCAAATAAATTTTTTTTCCAACATGTACATTTGTAGAGCAGACTCTTTTGATCAAAATAAAACGTTGCATAACTGTGCATGACATTACTGTTACAGGTTATCAGCCTTCACACTAATAAAGATATATATTTTCCTTTCGTTTTCCTTTTTCAAGTGATATCCCTTTTTCGTTCGTCCATTTTACTACACACATGTATGACTATACATATATGACTTTTCTTTTTCTTTCTGGTCATTGTCATCCGTCACCTTTTTATTTCGCTGATACAGATAAATATATAGACGAACACTGTCATCGTTCGAGGAGTTCTTTTCTCCTTTCGTTGTTTTTATTTCTGTTTTTGAATAAACTCCAAATGATTTATTTTGAACTTCACACTGTTCCCTAATATTTGGTGCCGTGACTGAATTTTTATTATATCCTTTTTATAATGGAAACGAACCAGACAGTTGTTTTTTTTAAAAAAAATAAAAGAGAAAAAAGGTGATAGTCTCTGGTGATAGTCACAAATATCACAAGGTAATAGATATGCAGCGTTCGTCGAACCTCCTGATATTCGTTTTGCATTATTTTTGATTGATCAAATTACCTTTCCACCATACACCGAACAATGTATTGATGTAACAGTCCCGTCACTTTTCGGTAATGTTAACAATGTTATGTTCTAATCGACATCCCACTTATACTCCAAATCAATATTAGCAGCGAATGCATTGATTGTGGCTGAGTATCACAAAACACGGATTATAGTCATTAACGCCTCTGATCGTCAACGTACATTATCCAAAAATACGCGATCAGGTGCAATATCATATCAACCGGAATCCAATATCTGTCTCACAATACCAATGACGTCGAATAAGAGGAACGTCCTACTATCGGACCGATCCTGGGTCCAGTCATCATTCAGGAATGACCATAATTTAATGAGTCGTTCGTGTAACTCGCCATTCTCGGCAGAAAGAAAAGTCCGTCCGGCGGATTTTTCCTGCAAGGCAAAACCAGTTGATTACCGTGAACATCGATGTTATGTTTGTCAAGCAACCTTTTTATCCAGCAACGGTTTACAAAAACAGCTTCGTCAACAATGCTTTCCATCAAATATCCGCGAACAGATTGAGATCGGCACCTCATATCGAAATCCGAAACAACGACAACAAGCGCAACAAATTTTATGGCGACACGGACAATTGTTTGATCTGCGTCAACCATCCATAATCAAAACAACAGTTCGTCATGCTATCGAAACAGGAAATCATCCACCTGTATTTACTCCAGCATATCGAGTTTCATATAAAGATGAGCAAATACAACGTGATGAAATTAACAAATTATTAAAACAAGAAGTAATCGAAGAATCCACCTCTCCGTGGTCATCCCCATTCGTTCTCGTTCTAAAGAAGGATGGATCTGTGCGATTTTGTATCAATTTTCGGAAGCCCCACAGTATAAGCATAAAAGATGCATTCCCAATTCCTCGAATTGATGATATTTTCGATCATTTAGCGCAAGCTGAATATTACACCACAATTGACTTCAAGTCAGGTTATTTCCAAGCTGGACTTGATCCGAAAGATCGTCCAACAGAGATGGGCGAGCCAAGCCATTTTTCGAGTAGAGTCGAGTCCTTTCGTCGAGTCATTTCGTAGCGGCTTCGAGTCGAGTCGAGTCATCAGCGTTCTCGAGTCGAGTCGAGTCAAGATATTTTTGCCATTTTTTCGTTTTCTGTTTATTTTTATAAAGAAAATTAACAAGTTTTTCGTGACACAATATTTAGTTCCTAGTTCTTAATTCACGAAAAAAACAAAGTCCTACATGAAATGAAATGACACAAGTACTATAGATTTATCAACA